CCCGGTGCCTGGCAGCTACTGGATGTGGCGGTCACAAGAAGGCTGTCGCAGGAGCCAGGCGTGCGCCAGAGGCCACTTGGTGCTAGCGACACTCCTTTCCCATCTCCTTTTTCTCCCTAAGAGTAATCAGGGTGCTGGGTACCTAGAGGTGAGAGCGGAACCTATAGGCGTGCGGTTTGGGTGCGGTTTGTGCTGATGTGGTTTCCCTCTGGGACTCTTACGTTGGTCATGTTGTCCCCCGTGTGGCCATTTGCCCTTTAATGAAATCACTGGGGATGTCAGATTCTGTTCCTGAGAGCAGGCTGTTCTGAAGGCGCAGGCCTGGCCCCAGCCCCTCCACGCTTCCTGTCTCACTGTGCAACCTGCTTCGTGACACCATTCCATGGGACGGGACCTGGCCCATGCGGGTCCCTGGGGCCTCCAGAACAGAGCTAAGCAAGCTTATTTTTACAAACAAGCTGCCCAACCTGAAGGATTTCATTACAGCAACGGAAGACACACTAATACAGATACCAGCCCTATTTTCTACCATGCATGGACATTGTCACCCTAGAGCAGCAATAGCAAATCTTTCAGAGACAAGGGCCAAGCTGCAACCCCAAACCCTCTCATCTGTCACAAAGTGCCAGCCCTGCAATTAAACCTGAATACTGAGGTTTTAGCTTAGAAGAAAACAACGCATACACGAACATCTTTTGTCATGAAGGAAAACAGGTGATGCATGTGCCATGGGTTTGCCACCAGTGCTCAAGCCCTAAGTCACCTGTCCTGGGTCAACTCTGCCAGCTGTCGAGGTCTCCGGATGCTCCTGCTGCACTCACCACCTCACCAGGCTTTCATAAGAAACTGCGGGCAAATGAACTCTTGTCTCCACAATCCCTGAGCAATTGAACGTTATCCATCTCTGTCTTTTCAGTGATTTGCGGATTGGATTTTGTTTCTTTTATCACAGGTGAAAAGCATGACTGCTTCCTGCCCTGGGTGACTCCAGTTTACCGATGGCCCACATGGGTGCCTGCCGCCACTCCTTGCACCTGCCGCTGCCACTGAGCTCCCAGCCTCCTCCTGAGCCTGACCCTCCTCCCCCTACCCTCTCTTTAGCACCCAGGTTGCAAGACTTTAAGGGGCTCCAGGTCAACGCTTACCTTTATGCATCCCGTTCTTCCCACCACTAATGTGCACGACTGGTAGTTGATAGGCATTTATCAGGCTGCACAGATTTGCCAACAACCTGAGAGCCTGGTGGCCTGGGTCCCACCCTCTTCTACACCAGGGTCATCATTGACCAGTCCTGCGACCCTGGTCTTCCTCCCGGGGCAGTGTGCAGGCTGGTCCTAGACAGCTTTTTGCCATTACCGTAACCATCCTATCAGGTCGGAGGGACTTTTTGAGGGCAGCATAGGAGCCTTGTCAGTGTTTGAAATAATCACACTAACACCAGTTAAGAAGCTCAACTGAGGAAAGCCCTCAGCCATGGGTGGTGTCCTCTGCCCACCACCAGCAAGGCTGGAGGCTGGAGCGTGGAGAGGCCAGGTAACAAGTGTGGAGTCCTCACTGCAGGACATCCGTCTCCATCTCTGCCCCGTGGCTCCAGCAGGCCACAGTGGGGTGACATTGCCTGTGCCCCAGGCATCTGGTCATGATGCTCCTGTTGTCCCCTCCTCCCTCACTGCGCTCTGTGTCTGGAGTTTATTTGCAAAGAGGTTGGTTTTGAAAATCAAGAGAGGAGGCAGTTGAGTGGGCAGTGATGGTCATTCTCCGTAATGTGCCTATGAAGTACACTCCTAGCCCTGAAAGGAAAAGGCTGTGAAAATCAAACCAGTTGAGTAACAGAGGGGACTGTTCATGTGACAGCGGCAAAGCAAATACTGACCACTGGCAGAAGAGCGGCAATACATGCTTTCTCACACCCCTCACTGGGCTACCTGGAGAGGAGGAGGAGGAGGAGGAGGCTGCTTTCGTGTTTTGTTACTGAGTTGCACGCACAGCAGACAGATGCAAGGATGGCGAGGGAACTTACCAGGTCCCCTTGAGCAGATAAAAGAAATGTCAGAGCTCTCAGAGTTGCTGCCTGTGACTCCTGGGTGTCTTGGACTGTTGTTAAGGCCTGTGTCATTGTTGAAAAGCAAGTGTTTTGTCCCTGGCAGTGAAGTAATGAAGCATCTTAACCATCGCCGAAGTCTCTGATTCAGTGAAATCCTTTAAGTGGCAGATCCAGTTTCAAACCTAAGCAGCTTAGGCCCAGAGATTTCTCCCACATACGCCGCACTCCTGGCTTCTATTATCTTTCTGGGGAGACTTTCACAGGGTCCACGTGAGTGTACAAATCGAGTTTCAAGGGGCTGGGGATTTAGCTCAGTGGCAAAAGCGCCTGCCTGGCAAGCGCAAGGTTCCCGGTACCGGAGAAAAACCAAAAAAAAAACAAACAAACAAACAAATCGAGTTTCAGGACACAGCTTGGCTATGAGATGTTGCATCTTTACTGAAGGCTTAGGGTCATATTTCAAGTGGAGTCTTCTCCAACTCCCAAAGCCTCAGGACTGGAACCAAGTGAGAGACTAGTGGGATGTCCGACAAATGGAGACGAAGAGATTAGTGATAGAGACTTGGCCAGAGGACACAGTGTAGATATGTCCATGGTGGGACTGGGAGTAGGAGCGGCTCATCCACATCTGGCCAGAATTCCCAGCTGGCCTTTGCCGAACAGCCCAAGGGCAGCGTCTTCACGAGGAGCTGATCAGAATGCTGTGTAAGCAGCTGGTCTGAAAAAGAGAAAGATGAGTGAGTGATACACACACACTTGCTTCCTCCCGCCTCCTTCGGGCCACCTCAGCTGGGGAGGCGGACACAGACCGCTCCAGGGACAGTGCCTTCCCTTGAGGGAGATGGAGGCTGCTGGACAGGAGGCCCCTGCTTAATACCCATGACCTTGATTTTGACCTCACTGCACAGACGTTTGCCATTTTGAGGGTTTCCCTCTTTTCCGCCCAGTCCAGAATCAGTGATTTGGATACCTGTGGCTGGTGGGAGGTTGGTTGCATTTACTCCAAACCCAGCTCAATCATCTTGTGTCAAGAATCTCTTTCCCTGGTTTTCACTTAGGTGAGTAATTCCCACAGCAGCTGTTTACTCTGAGGGTGTAGTAGCTTTCCGGTCTCTGGGACCCGCCGCCTGCCACCCACGTGTAAAGGAGGAGGGGTTAGCTGGCTCCTCATTTCAGTGGGTTCAGTCCATGGTTGGCTCTTCCAAGGCAGGAACATTGTGACAAAAGAGCGTGGCAGAGCAAAGCTGCTCAGTTCATGGTGGCCGGGAGCAGAGCAGGTACAGCGCCGGAGAGGAGGGGCAGGGGCCAGATACAGAGCCCAGGGTCACCCCCATGCCCACCCAGACCAGCCCGCAACGTGCTTTACTAATCCAGTGGGCATCCCTTAATCCAATCAAGTTGATGTTTGAGGATTAATGGTCCCGGAAGGAAACCTGTGTTCATCGCGGAGGCTTTCGTCTCCTTGTGCCTGGGTCAATCTTCCGAACGTTTTGGGCACGTGAGGGCAGATACCCGAATGTCACAGACACCTGAATGATCCGCTGCCATGCAGCGCTGTAACTGTGGATCTAACCTTTTCTTTTCAAATGATTTCGTCAACCATGGTTTCTTTATGAAGTCATGCAGTTGTCTGTTAAAAAGCAGATGATTGCCTCCCCATAAGTAACATGCTAATCAGTGCATTTTATTTAGTTTGCATGTGTTTGTATAGTTTTTCATACATTTTCTAGCTGATGTCTTTTCAGTTAACAGTGGTGACTGCATACATGGTGGGTCTCTCAGAAAGCCCTAACTGTGTGTTCATCCATGCAGGAGGGATCTCGGAGGAGCTGTGCCAGGTGTTTAGTCATAACTCCATTTGTTTTCATTGTTCTATTCAGAATATCAGGCTGGTGATAGCTTGCGGGTAGACTCCGGGCAACCTGAACCACTTGGGCTAAAGATAAACTTAGTCCTGGCATTGCTTTACTTCTAGAAAATAGACATACACCATATTCTTACAGTTACTTTGAAAACTTTACATTGGTTGTTCAGTTTGTCTCCAGCTTTGTGAAGTGAGCTGCTGGCCAGGGAAGATAATTGGGGAAAAGGTCAGGTCATTTTCCTGTGGTAGGAGAGCACATGGCTCGTCTCCGTTGGTGGTGGCCCTGCAGAGTACTGTATTATTTCATTTTCTGTGACTGTCGTACGATACTCAAAGCTGGCTACTTGGTTAAGAAAAGAGGTTTCTCTAGGGCAGTTTTGAAGGCTGAAAGCCCACACAGCATAGTGCTGGCTCTGGTGAAGATGCCTTGTCATGCCTACACAGTCGTGGGTGGCAAGTGGCAGGAGCATGGGCAGAGGGGGGCACGGGAACCAGAGGCGGAGGGTGTGGCCAGGCTGCTCCTTCACACCGCCCTCTTTGAGAAGGAACCAGCCCCACAGAGCAGATTCCTCCGAGGTCCCCAGCCCTGCCACGGCCTGACGTTGTCCTGGGGCTGAGCTCTTCAAGGCTTCACCACCGGTCAGTGTCACCGCTAGAGAGTGGGCCTCCGCCCCGCAACCCTGGGACCTGCCCACGTTCAGCTACAGAGTGGGCTGGGCTGGGAAGGGCACGGTGGGGCCACACCCCCGCGGGTGTCTCCTTGGCCAGCCTCCTTCCCCCTCCTGTTCCACACCTCAGTACCTCACAGTGCCACCGCCTTCCCAGCGACTCCTGCCTCACATTCCCTTCAGCCCCAGCCCGGCCTCCTTGGTGACCCTGGAGCGTGGCCACGTCTCTCTGTTAGATGTGCGGATCTGCGCACTGGCTTTGTTGGGAATGAGCTGTGTGGCCTCGAGGACCCTGGCTTTCTCACCAGGCCCCCCCGCTCTGGAGGCGACTCTTTGGAGATGCCCTGGGCCACCCAGTGTCCCGTGCCTGCTGTTCCGTCCAGTGCCGGTTCCGCTGTGGTTAAGGAACCCCTCTGTCTTGCAGGGCTGGGGGAGGGCTCAGCCCTCCTGCATCCCGACAGCAGATCCCACCCTCGGTCGTTGGAGAAGAGTGCCTGGCGGGCCTTCAGAGAGTCACAGTGCCACCACATGCTCAAGCACCTCCACAATGGCGCCCGGATCACGGTGCAAATGCCGCCGACCATCGAGGGCCACTGGGTCTCCACGGGGTGAGCTCGGTTGGGAGGGCAGGAGGGAGCGACTGGGAGACCCTTTTGGTGGCTTCTCGGATGCAGGGAGGACTTAGGTGTTTTTTGAATGCTGGTGAGGAGCCAGGCTGCTGTTTGAAATTGGGGTTGGTGGAGAAGCAGCTCAGTCCTGAGAACTCTCACCCAAAGCAGAGGTTACATCGTGCCACTGTGAGCCGCACGGGAGGGAGAAGTGAATAGGTCCTTGTTTACTGAACTCTGGGGCTGCATGTGTATAAAAAGAAACCATTAGCAAGTGAAATTAAGCGTCTGTGTTTCACATCCCCGAAACATGACTTGCGAGCTTCTTACGGTCTACATATTCTAGCCATGTTCTGGTAATTCAATATGCCGCCTCAGGGCTCTGAGAGAGGCTGAGAGCGGCCTCTTTAGCCAGGGCGAAGTTCTTAGATTCTTTTCCATGCTGTGGAGCTGAGACTTAGCCCAGTGTGAGCTCTGGCTTATCTGTCATTAGAGCTTTTAAAAATAGCCTAGAGGCCGATGTGTGATTTCTTTCCCCCCTACCCATTGAATTGCTGAGCATTAACAAGGCGGGCTCCGGGATCTGATTGCTCTCCCCAGCACTGTTGCTGGGATATGGGATAGCAGCCTCCAGGTACCTCAGGGAGGGATCAGATGTGTACGGAGAAAGATGATGAAGACCCAGAATTTTTTTCCTAAAGATAGGCTCTCGTAAAATAACTACATGATAAATAATTTGCATAAAAATCTCTATGTGAAATCATAGCTTTGAAATGATTATCTGCTCGGTGTCTGCTCTGTGCATTTATTCTTTATTTGTGCATAAACCAGAGGTGGCCCTGTCTTCAGGGAGTTTGCAAATAAATACACAAGAGTGCACTGAGAGGCACGGGGGTGCAGGTGTGAAAGAACCCCGGAGTCTTACTGTAGGGTCAGAGTGAGTTCCAGAAAGTCCAGTAGAAAGGGGAGCCCTAGAGCCAAGACACCCTTGGTTCTGGAAGAACTTCCTATGGGAGAAGCTAGCAAGGACAGCTGGATACAGAGTGAGCCAGAGCCAGACTGGACTGGAGAGCCCCGACACAGTCCTGCGGCCAGCTGGGGTACAGGGAGCCCAGGATAGCAGTCTTGCAGGAGGAGAACTTTTTTTTAGTTTTAGGGCCCTCCCTCCCTTCTTCCCTTCCTTCCTTCCTTCCTTCCTTCCTTCCTTCCTTCCTTCCTTCCTTCCAGGCTGGGTTTGAACTACTAGGGCAAGCGATCCTCCTGCTTCAGCCTCCTGGGTAGCTAGTACAGTACTACACATGTGTGCAGCACACCCAGCTCACAGGTCTCCTAACCAAAGAGAACCTGGCCGTGGCTGAAGCGCTTCCTGCAAGGTCGATGTTTAAAGCATGATCCGGCTTTGCTCAGGGGCCTCCGGCTGTGCTGTGGCCTGTGGGTGGGGGGAAAGGTGGTGGGGATGACAGCTGACTGCTGCACGTGCGGGCAGCGGTGGTGGGGCCTGACAGGCGCTGTGGGCCAAAGCAGAAGTGCAGTAAAGAAAAGCAAGGCCTCTCCCGCCCAGACCCTGGGGCCCTCAGCCTTGGTCACCCTGAGCTTCTGCTCTCTCCCGAGTCTGGGTGTTCCGTCACTCCTGTGGCTCTGGTGACCGGTGTGCAGAGGACACTACCTGCCCCATGTGCGCAGGACATCCCTGACCCCAGTGACAGACTGCCCAGCTCAGGTTCCAACCTGTGGGCTGCAAAATTTAAATGAGAAGCCATCGAGTGTGGGATTTCAGCCTAGCCCAGAACCTGGTCAGTTACAGACAGAAGCAGAGTTAGAAGTTCGACCCCAGAGAGCCAGGGTGGGGACGGACCGGGGGTCTGATGGGTACGAATCCCTTGGCCAGTACTTGGGGGTCTTGTCTCTCCCCTGCTGGGGCAGAGCTGGGGACGCAGGAACTGATGACAGCTCAGGCGTGTGAGCTGTGCCTGCGTTAAAGCCTCCAGCATCCGTTCTTGCCCTGGAGCCTCCGCCTGAGTATTTCCAGTGTGGGATCCCAGCACTGGCCTCCTGCCACAGCAGAGGGCCTTTGCTCGTTCACCGGCACGAACCTCAGGAGCCCCCTGTCGCTGTTCTCCATTATCTTTGCTTCCACCTGGTCACCTCTTTTTCCTGACAGAAATAAAACTCATTTTGAATTAACAAGGGAGCAGATTTCTCTTGGCCTCGAGGGGACCGTGGAGGTCTTGTGCCTGCTTCCTTGGGAGAGGCCCCAAACAGGCTGGTGCTCCCAGAGTTGGCTGGTTGTGACATGACAGCACAGGGCTCCTGGAAAGCGCCAGTGCAACGCTCCTCCTTATCCAGAAAGACAGAAATTCCTCAGTGAAGCGAGACCACCACTGAGATGCGGGGGCAGCATGGTGGGGAGCAGTCATGGCGCTGGGGGCCTTGATTTGGGTTTAGGCTTTGATCCTCATTGTGTGTATGGCCTCGGGCGTGTTCCCTAACGTGTGCCTCAGATTACTGTGCTGTGAAATGCAGGTGCTAATCCTGCGTCACTCCTCCGAGGCTTGCTGTAGCTCTCACCTCCGACGCCCGTGTGCGCTCGGCTCACAGAGGCCTCTGCCCCCCCTGCCCTCCAGCTGTGAAGTGCGGTCCGGGCCGGAGTTCATCACAAGGTCATACCGCTTCTACCCCAACAACACCTTTAAGGCCTACCAGTTCTACTACGGCAGCAACCGCTGCACAGACCCCACCTACACGCTCATTGTCCGGGGCAAGATCCGCCTGCGCCAGGCCTCCTGGATCATCCGCGGGGGCACCGAGGCTGACTACCAGCTGCACGGCGTGCAGGTCATCTGCCACACGGACACGGTGGCTGAGCGGCTCAGCCGGCTGGTGAACCGCACATGCCCAGGCTTCGTGGCCAGGGGCCCCTGGGTGCAGGACTCGGCCTACGACCTGTGGCGGGCCGAGGGCGGCTGCGAGTGCACCCAGGCCCTGCGCTTCGCCATGCATGAGCTGCAGTTGCTCCGCGTGGAAAAGCACTACCTGCACCGCCTGGACCACCTGGTGGAGGAGCTGTTCCTTGGCGACATCCACACAGACACCAGCCAGAGGAGGTTCTACCGGCCGTCCAGCTACCAGCCGCCCCTGCAGAGCGCCCAGGTGAGTGAGCGCGTGGCCAGCTGCCCCCGAGGCGCGTGGCAGAGGTCAAGGGGACCTGTGAGGGGAGGAGGAAGAGGAGGTTGAGAGGGTTGGAGGAGGTGAGAGGAGGTGTGGGAGTCTGGGGGACCCCAAATAGGCTGGGACCCTGGCTCTGCACCAGTTTGCTCTGTGAGCAGGGACCTCAGGTCCTGGAGAACCCTGCAGCGCTAACGTCCTAGAAGCTCAGCACTGCCCCTGAAAGGGTGCGAAAGAACCGTGGCGATGTCACAGCCACACTTGGCCAAAGTACCAGAGATACCGAGTGGTAGTCCAGTGCTCACCGTGGAGGAAGGCGAGGGGACAGCGGGCAGCGGTCTGCAGAGGGCTTTGGGTTTCAGGGGACCGTCAGCCTGTTCCTGTTGGCCCTGTTCCTCGGCCTCCTGAGCCCGGTGTCATGAGGACGCCCTCGGCAGAGGTGATGGCGCTGGTCCCAGGGCAGGAGTGCGCAGGGTTCACTGCCCACAAGCCGCATCTCTTCCCCCAGGCTCAGGTTCTTTCCATTCTCCTAAGTGACATGTGAGGTCTCTGGTATGAGGTCAGCGTGACTGGAGGGTGGACCTGGCCCCCGACCGGGACCGCAAGGAGCAGTTAGGACCCGATGGCACTGTTGCCCTGAGGGATTCCGTTGTAAGGCATGTGGAGTTTACCCCGCTTTCCTTCTGCATGTTGAGTGTCAGGTCAGGGAGGAACTCAATCGCTTGTGACCTCAGGCTGGGGGAGGAGGTGGACCCAGCCACACGGGGCGGGAAATTCTCCCTGGAGTGTGCTCCGCTGTCAGCTGGCTCAGTGGGGGCCCTCAGCACAGCTGCCTCCCTGCGGAGCCCCGGTTGGCTTTCATTTGCTGATATATTCATTTTTTAAAAACTGTTTTCTTGGCGGTCCTTTGAGCTCACTCAGCCCGTCGAGATATCTCTGAGAACTTCCTTTCTAAAGACTGCTCAGTGTTGCCTTTTTTATCTCTGTTACTGCGAGCACATGGATGAAAGTGGCCTTTATTATAAAGGGGAAAGATCTGCCGAGGGAGCCGCTTGGCAGAGGCCGCTTCCTCCAGGCGCGTCTTGTCTAGGTCAGGGCTGGGCTCCCTGCCTTGGCGCTGTGAGGATATGTGCTGCCACCCTGGGTGCTCCTGCAGAGTAGGAGCCAGGTCCTGTCTCACCTTGGAAGTGGCAGGGGTGCCGAGAAACAGGTGACTTTAGGCGGGGGGGGCAGCCTCTAGAACAGCCAGAGTCCCCGGCGTCCTCCTTGAGTGGCGGGTGAGGGCGAAGCCCACAGTGCTGCCCAGCATCACGGGACAACCTGGTTACCAGGGTGATACCTGGCCGGGTGTGGTGCTGGCCCTGGGTCCCTCGGTCTCCAGGGAAGATGAAAGAAGTCGGGCGTGGTTTCCTGGTACAATCTGGAGACTTTGCAGTCAGGAGCAGTGTCAGAGACAGCCCTGAGGCCGCAGCTGGGCAGCGTGAGGTGGAGACATGGGAGGGGAGGTGTCACGCCTGGGTGTGGCATCCCTGAGCGAAGCTGCAAATTGTGGGAGGTGTGGCTCTCGTGAGTAAAAGTGGCCGCAAGCTACCCGGTAGCTTCACCTTAGCCAAGAGCCCCTGGCACCCGTGCCCCACAACCTCCTGGAGACCTGCTAGCCGGCCACAGCGTCCTCCTGCCTGGGTCCTTCCAGCCGAGTCCCCAGTGAGCAGCACAGCAGTCAAGGTTAGCAGCCAAGGTCAGCCTGGCTCCACGCCTGACCTTTGCAGCGTCTGCACCACCAGGGTCAGGTGCCTTTCCTCACCAGCACCACAGGTCTTCAGCCTTCTCATCACTAAAGCAAGGAGGAGTGACCGTAACCGCCTTTCCCTGCCTGTCCCCGGGCCCACCTCACGGCTGTGCCCCCAGCCCCAGAGCCGATGCCCCCCTGGTCACAGCAGCCCTGCTGGACTTGGCGCCCACCCCATAATGCTGACCTGTTAACTATTGTTTGCAGTGCTGAGGATCACACTCAGGGTTTCAGACTTGTTGGGCAAGTTCTTACCCTGAAGCTTAACTCCATCCCAGGCTGTCTTTCTTCTGTCTGTCTTTTTATTTCTTTTTACCAGCATCTGCGTAAATTGGTGAGCATATGGACTCTGGAAATGGAGCCAGCCCTGGAATCCAGTTCTGCTGTCACTAGTTATGCCACTGGTAGTAACTTAACCTCAAGGAGCCTTAGTTTTTCTTTCCCGTGAAAGGGTAGAAATCTGAGAGGTGACTGTGGAATGCCGTCATGGACCTGGCTGCTCTGGCCCGAGTGAGAAGCCCTTCTGGGCAGAGGATGCGGGCGCGGGGCCTGGGAATGTGTCAGCACCATGGGACACTGAGCTGCAGCCCAGGTCCTTCTGCTTCTCCTCCCTGCACTGCTGAAGCAGCTGTGGGAACATTGACCTGGGTTCCTAGGAAATGGGCTCTTTAAAGCCCAGCCTGAAGTCCTGATTCTAGAAACAAGGAGGGTAGGCCACATGGGGAACTTGGGTGCTCTCGGGATGCACGGAATAAAAGGCGAACGAAGGATGTGTGGAATAGCGTTGGCGCATGGTCTGCGTGTGATCCTGATGCTAGGAGGCAGAGGGTAGGAGGGTGCAGGTACTCAGGGTCCCCTGAGGAGGCAGGGATGCATTCTGTCACATGATTTCACTGTACCTAAACATGAAAATTTTATGTTTTTTGAAATTTAATGAAAATTAACAAAAGAGCAACCACGGCCTGGACTCAGGAATGCGGCAGCCACCACGGACAGGGCCCGGCCTCCAGGCCCGTCCTCTGCTCCCGGCCACTGTGGTTGCCTGGCAGCACGCCTGGGGCCTGCAGGAGGGCACCTGGCTCCGGAGCTGAAAGGGCCCGTTCTTCTCTTGTCGTGCCTCATGTGTACCTCTTGGCCCACAGTGCTCTGTGGAGTCCTCAGGAAGTTTTTAGATCCTTCCCGGGGCGACTCTGGGGAGGAGCAAGTGGGCCTGGCCACGGGTGTCTTTGCAGACCCTGGCGTGGCCGAGCCCTGTGGCATGTGCCCGTGGGCCCTGTGGCCCAGTCTCCTGGGCTGGTTGTGGCCCCTGGCATGGGATGGGAAGCACCACAGCATCTTCGGAGATCCCAAGGCTGCCGGGAGGGCGGGGCCTGCTACTTTGAACTCTGCGCCTGCCTAATTGCTGGTCCATAGAGACCTGGATGAAAATTAGTTTAAATGCTAAATTGAGTTTGAAACCACTAGCCTCAGCCCCTGTGGAAACAGGATACCATGTAAAAATAGAAACTTCAGGTCAGCTTGTTTTTCTAAGCTTTATGCTGCTTTGCCATGAGGTTCCAAGTCCTTTGGCAAATAAATTATGTTTGCAGAGAATCAGGTAGGAGTGCGGGGAGCTATTTCAGAGGAAATTGGCCACTTTTCATGAACAAAAATCAAGGCATTCTAAAGAAGATGCTTTGCCCAAGTGGAGCCTCATCGTGGGCAATGCTGACCCCCTGTCAGGAGTCACCAGAGCCCTGTAGTTGAAGGGGAAGTGGCCACGTTCCTTCTTCACAGCGATGGAATCGAATGGTAATGACAGCAAATGATTTCCGCGATCTTCAGCCAACCAGAAAGCTTCGGGATCCGACCCACAAGCGAGCAGAGTTGGTCTTCCTCCAAAATCCTGTTCTGATTCAGCCGAAGGGTTGTAAATCAAAGGGGTTATCCAGAAACCAGCCAGCTTTCCCCGAGCCGCACGTCTTAAATCTTCTGTCCCTGCAGACCTGCAGCTCCCCGAGGACCCGGCCCGGAGAAGGAAGAGTGCTCCTGTGCAGAGGGAAGGTCTGGTTCTGGTCCCACAGGCGCCTCTCGCGGTTTTGTTAGATGTCCATCGTCCGTCCATGTCCACAGGGGATGACCCTGGGGCCTGTGGGTCCAAGTGTGTGGGTGCTGGAGGCCTTTCTGTGAAATAGTGCAGTGTTCGCGTGGAGCCTGCACACGTCCTCCTGTAGACTAACCCATCCCGGATAACTTAGCACACCCAGTGCAGTGCCAACACTGTGAATATTGTTCCGTTGTGCTGTGTAGGGAATAATGACCAGGACAAATGTTGGCACATATGCAGTAGAGACCCACCTTTTTTTGCAATATTTTGATCCTTAGTTGGTTAAATCTTCAGATGCAAAACACACAGATCTAGATGGCTGATAGAAGTGAGCTGGGGGACTTCCTAATATCAGTGACATCAGAGGGACTTTAAGTTAGGCTGCAGGGCTCAGGTGCTGGAGTCTGACTCTGACAGCGTTGCTTTTGTGGATGTTTTCTGCGGGCTGAGGTTGGAGGATCCCATGCCTGCTCCCTGCAGGATGCTGGCGTACACTTGTGTTGCAGACACAGATCTGTGTTGTTCTTGATGCTTGCAGAGTACCTCGGCAGCCTGCAAGTTGCTTGTTTAAGGAGGCAGCAGACCAGGAAAGATGTGTTGTCAGGAATAATGCAAGTAGTAAACAGCTCATCCCTTACAAGGAGAAACCAAGCCTGCCGAGGGGCAGGAGGAAACCCACCAGGTGGGAACTCGCCATTCAGAAAGGAGCCCCCTCTCCCTAGCGCCAGGTGTTAGCTGAGCAGCAGCAATAAAGAAGGGGCCAAGAGATGGGGCAAGCCAGGGTCCTTGGGATTCACCTCGGATCTCATTTAATCTTTAAAATGAGTCAGCTTCAATTATTTAAGTGAAAGAAACTCGCTAGAAGGTGAGGCAGCAATCGAGTGAAAACAAATGCAAAATTTATGCTTATTTCTTTTTAGAATAAGCCTGGTTTTCTTTTTGGAGACTACTAGGGACATTTCATGTCCTCTCTCCTTTGAGTTAAAGTTATCTGTGCATGCGCCTGCACCTGTGTGCACCTGTGCACATGTGTACTTGTGTGGGGGTGCTAGAGGTTGAACCCAGGACGGCCCACATGGTGGGCAAGCACCCTGCCTCCATCACTGATCTACAGTTCCTTCACCCCTGAATTAAAGTTTCTGCAAGTAGCAAAGAGGAAACACATTCTGGTCAGTCTGCCTTTAAGCTTCAGAAGCTTAAAGGCATGCACAGAAGCAGCGATGCTCAGCAGTCCCTTCTGAGATCCAGGGGGAAGCACTGGTGTGGAAGCCAAGTCGCTGAGCCTAGGAGAGACTGCTTGTCAGATGAGAAGCAAGCAATTGAACGTGGGTCCAAAATATAAAAAGAGTAATTTCCTAAAGCACATGGTATTTCCTGTGCAAGTCATTTTCATGTTTAAAAACTCCACGTGCACTTCTCTTTCCACTTAACCACTCTTGAAAGCCTAGAAGAAAAGCACATCAGGAAAAAGAGGCTTTAGGGCCAGTACAATACATAGGCTTTACTTTATGCTTCCCAGAGTTGTTCCTGAGAAGCACAAGTCTTTTAAAACTTCTACAAACCAAAGACTGTAAGAATTCAAGGAAAACTGTTAAACTTATCTACAGAACATGAATATCTTCTTATAGACTGTGTCTGAAATGGTCCCCTCTGACAATATCCGCACACGAGCCACAAGCTGGAAGGAGCTCCCTGTGTGTTACATCTTTGGTTTCTTCATGGTGGCTGAGAGTTGCTTCAGAAAGTAGCTTCGCCAAGGTCGGCAGTGAGCACACAAAGGTGCGCAGTATCTCAGATGCGTAGGAAAATGTAAGCAAAACCACAGTGGGACGCCAGGTCACCCTCAGGACGGCCGTTAGGAGAAAAGACAGATGAGGAGGTGCTGGAGAGGGCGTGGGGAGGCGGGGCCCTGTGCTTTGTTGGTAGAAGTGGTACATCCTCTACAGGAAAGGCCAGGATATGCCTCCAAAAATTCAGCATAGATTGACATATGATCCAGCTATGCCACTTCTGGGATTATACCCAAAGCCTAAAGCAGGTACCCAAACAGGTCCTCGTGCATCACTTTCACAGCAGAAGCCACGCAGGTGTGTATCGACAGATACCTGGGTAAGCTAGAGGAGCTGTGCATACACGCACTGGACTGCGGTTCAGCCCTAAAGAGAAGGGAGGCCCGGCACCTGCTGCGGATGGAGGAACCTTAGAGACTGTGCTGATGAGATGCGCCAGTCGAGGCCCTCAGTTCCTGGCTGGTGCCATTGCGGCCTGCTGGTGCCGTTTCAGCCCACTGGGGCGAGGACTTGTGATCGCCCTTGCCGCCCTCACCGCAGCCTGCTCATGGCTGCTCCCTGCTGACCACAGGCTCAGGCCCTGCAGGAAGCCTCGAGCCCCTATGGACTTGGCCTCTGGTGGCCACAGCAGCCATCTGAGATCTTCCCCTGGAGCCACAAGCGCCATGGGCGAAGGAAACATTCCTTCTCGGATATCGCAGCTCCCGGTCCCTCCCCTTGTGCCACGCCCACGCCTGGCGATGGGACCTCTGGCTCAGGTGACACAGGTGATGGAGTATGTGGTGGTCCCGAGTGGCAGCCACGAGCGTGCGTGCAGTGTGCCTGCCCCAAGTGACGGCCACCAGCCTGCATGCAGGGCTGAGGCCACACTGGGCTGGGCTCACAGTTGGTGGTGGCTGTGTGGTTCCAGTGGGCAGTGTCCTGTGAGCCCCTCGGGCTGGCACCGGCCGCAGGAGCAGGATAGCAGAGAGACACCCCATTCAGGGTGAGGCAGCCGGGGTGCCATGCAACTTGAGTCCAGCAATGAGGGGTTGGCACCGTGCTCAGGACCCAGCTGTCTGGATGTCCACACTTACACTTTGTGCAGAATGTGGGGACGCAGGAGGGGAGAAGAGCCGAGGCTGCGGACTCTGGGCAGTGCTGTGCACCTGCCTCTGCACCGTGCGCTCCCGAGCTTCCGCCTGCCTTCTCTGTCCCTTCCTTGCCCGGTCCCTGCCTGTCCCTGCTAGCTGATAGCCCTCGCCCATAGCCATAGGAGGCTGCCCTTATTCTCTGATGCGCCTCATAATTTTTTAATTAAAAACATTTAATTGCAGGAAAATCCACAGCATGAAGTGTACCATCCTTCCCACGTTCAGTGGTATAGCTCAGTGCTATCACTTGCATTTGTGTTGTGCCGCCAACGCTGTTATCCATCCTCAGAGCCCCTTACCTTGCAAACCGAGGCTCTGCCCTGAGGGCACCGGCTCCTTTGCTGCTGCCCACCCCGGGCCCCTGGCAGCCACTGTGCTATTTCCTGTCTCTGAATGCCACTGCCTGTAGAAGTGGAATCAGTGCATACCATTTTATAGCCGGCTTGTTTGCCTAGCACCATGTCCCCACGGTGCATCCATCCGAAGCCTGTGCCGGGACACCTTTCCTTTAGAGCTGAACCACAGTTGCTTCTCCGTTCGCTTGTGAGCAGGACTCGGGTTGCACCCTCCTTCTGGCTGACGTGCTCACACGCCTGTCTGGAGCCCTGCTTTCTGCTTTTGGATCCATACTGGGTTCCATGCTTAGTACTTTGAGGAGCAAGCAGACCTCTTCACGCAGCAGCTGTGTCCAGCTCCTCTCCCCGCTGGACACAGGGTTCTGATTTCCTCACACCGTCACCAACACCTCCCTCCTGGATTCCTGACAGTCGTCCTGCCAGGTGTGAGGAGTTGCCTTTTCTTCCTAAAAGCAACATCCAGCCCAGGTGGTCTGAAACCCGATAGGACTCTCGAGTCCCGCACAGCTGAGATGTGCCGGCTGTCCCTGCTGTCGTGTGCACACCTGTGCACGCTTGTGTGCGTGCGTGTGCCTGCACACCACGGTCCTCGGCACAGACCTGGCCCACGTGTGCCCTGGCAGTCCTGGTGGCCAGGGTGCTGCTGCCTGACACCTCGTGAGCCCCTTGGGGATGGGTGGGGGAGCCCTGTGCGCCTGTCTCCTGGGAAGGCAAAGGCCCCTAAGGCTTCTGTCTCTGGCCGCAGAACCACGACCACACCTGCATAGCCTGTCGCATCATCTACCGCTCCGACGAGCACCACCCCCCACTGCTGCCCCCGAAGGCGGACCTGACTGTGGGCCTGCACGGTGAGTGGGTGAGCCAGCGCTGCGAGGTGCGCCCCGAAGTCCTCTTCCTCACGCGTCACTTCATCTTCCACGACAACAACCACACCTGGGAGGGCCACTACTACCACTACTCGGACCCGGTGTGCAAGCACCCCACCTTCACCATCTACGCCCGTGGCCGCTACAGTCGCGGGGTGCTGTCCTCCAGGGTCGCGGGCGGCACAGAGTTCGTGTTCAAAGGTAGGCCGTGGCCCCAGGGAGTGCCAGGCGCGGTTGGGGACAGATGGCAGAGCAGAGCGGAGGGAAAGGGCTTCTCTTCTGCCGAGATGCTGGGAGGAGAGCAGGGTTCTGCCACTCTGCTCCTTGGAAACCCCAGGTCCCCGGCCTCGGTGGGAGCTGGGGTCTCCACCTGCAGCCTCCGCACCACGGGACCCACGCCGGCCGGGCAGGTGGATACCCAGCCTGTGGCGTCCTGGCTGCTTCCGGTGCGGCAGCCAAAGCCCCGGATGCTCCCCACTGGGGAGGAGCAGGTGGTGGTGACTCCTGGGGGCTCCGGGTCCTCTTCTCCGTCCTGAGCTTGCCTGCCCTTAAGAGAGTGTCACAGGCCGAAACAGGGAGTGGTGATGGGACGGTTCCGGCAGTGTCTCCACCCAGCACTTGGAGGCTGGGGTAGGGCAGGCCGTCCTCAGAAGGGAGGACCGTGGCCACAGGTTTTATTTAGTTTTTAAGTTTGAGCATCGTCATGAACTTGTGTCAGCCCTGTCACACCAGAGAGGGACAGCTGGGGTCCTGGGTGTGGTGCCCAGGTGACACCAGTCCAGTCAACAGGACGTCTCTGTCAGTGCAGACAAGAGCCTGAGCCCTCCCACTGAGGGGGAGGCTTTGGTCCCCGGATGACTGTGCCTAACAGAGGGTGGTCTGTGGCGTGTCCAGCCAGGCCCAGTGTGTGCTGTGCGCAGTGTGGCTCCTAGGGGACCTCGTAAGGGTCCTAAGTACAGTGCTGAGTACTGGTCTCAGTCTGAGTGTGAGCAGTGTGATGTGCGTGTTCAAGGAAGCATGCTGTGAATGTACCCACAGGACGTGTTGATAAGCTGCCTCTATACTGGTGTGGACTTCTGTTCAGTCCACTCACTCATATTTTTGTTGCTTGCAACATATCGTAGATGCCTGCACTATGTGCCAGTATTGATTTGTGCGAATGCTAACTAGCGAGATATTTGGCAGCAAAACTTTTAGACACCTTAAAACCTTTTCATAAGATGAAAGCTCTGGTTTCTGTTGCATAATTTTGCTTCCTGAAGAGTCACCCTCACATGCACTATGGGGAGCAGGCATGGTCCCCACATGCAGCCTGTCTTCCAGCCGCTCTCACGGCATGCCGTGGTCCCCTCGCATCTGGGCGAATGAGCTCCCTGCCCAGTGAGCTCACCGACCGGGGCGGACGGGTCGGCAGTCGCATCACCCTTGCACACATCTCCACTGTGTGTACTGTGTACTGTGAGTGATCTCGAGTGCACTGTAACTCCTAACGCAGCGTCACCTAGGTGAAGTTACGCTGTACGTGTAGGAAGTAAACAAGCAGAGTCACATAGATTCAGAGCAAACCAGTGTGCTCTCCAGCCTTCCTGATCTGTGGACGTTGGGTCCCCTGATGTGGGGCCCACGGATGCAGAGGGACGGCTGACAGTGTCGAGGGCTGCCACTCCTGGGGACAGGCAGACTCCCCACCTGAGACCCCTGTGGCCGGCAGGGTGGGGAGGCAGGATGGCTGAAGGAAGCCTCGGTGAGATGGAGCCCCCAGCTTTGCTGGTGTGTCCCCCGATTTCTCCCTTCAAATCACAGTTTCCTCTGCCCTCTGTAGTGAATCACATGAAGGTCACCCCCATGGACGCGGCCACAGCCTCGCTTCTCAACGTCTTCAACGGGAATGAGTGTGGGGCCGAGGGCTCCTGGCAGGTGGGCGTGCAGCAGGACGTCACGCACACCAACGGCTGCATGGCGCTGGGTATCAAGCTGCCCCACACGGAGTATGAGATCTTCAAGATGGAGCAGGATGCCCGGGGGCGCTACCTGCTGTTCAATGGCCAGCGGCCCAGCGACGGGTCCAGCCCGGACCGGCCGGAGAAGAGGGCCACGTCCTACCAGATGCCCCTGGTCCAGTGTGCCTCCTCCTCGCCCAGAGCCGAGGACCTGTCTGCCGACGGCGGGGGCAGACAGCACGACCGGGCGCCGGGAAGGAGAGCCCAGCCTGTGCTGCTGGCCACCCTCGCCAGCCTCCTGACTCTGCCACCCTGGGGCGGGCCCAGCTAGAAGTTTTTAGGAAGTTCTATTTTTCTGAACTAGGATTCCTTACCATACACAGATTTTTTTATGAAAAGAAAAGACACTGATTCTTTTGATGCACTTGAATGCCCGAATGTCGCTCCTTTTCCCCTCTCTCCCTCCCCGCCCTGAGTCATGAGCAGCCCGTTTGAAGTTTCTGCTTTGAACTCCGTCCAGCCTGGTCCCTGGCCCCAGCGAGTTCACAGCAGAATTGCACTTTAAGTCCGTGGAGTTTCGGCTGGTGTGTTTGGTGGAGGCAACGGGGTGAGCGCTGGGACCTCTTATTTTTTCCTCTTAATTATTAGATTTCTGAGTTGAGCTTAGAAGGTCCCAGAATCGAGGGCACAGTTGGTTTGGGACTGCGATGAAGACCTTGTACTGATAAAGAGATATGGGTGTAGATATGTACATAGGAGGGGGTGTGCGTTTAGCCGGGATATCTTTACAGAAACAGAGGAGAGAATCAAAACTTCCAAAAGTGTTTCGCAGAAAAGTATCTGTAATTAAAGTTCCAAAGTAATTTAAACTCTGTTTACATCACTGGTTTGCAGTTGTTGAGATGAGGTGTTTGTTATTTGCTGGTCTGGGTGGGGACAGGATGCAAGCAGCTTCTTCATTTGTGCTCTCAGGAGACCGGAGTGGGCGGGGAAAGAGCAAAAGTGTCCTACTGCTGAGCAGAGAGCAGCGGCCGCACGGGGCCACTGCAGGGTGTCTGGCACAGTAGGAGCAGACTGGAGGTGTCCACCCGTTGCCTGGCTTCCTCTGTGGGACAGAGTCTGGGCTCCCCGACTGGTCAGGATGGGGGTGGAGAGATCCCAGCTCCAGTGTCTCTGCCGTCACTGCACCCTTGGCGTGCAGCTTGACTCAGTTTCCTTCTTGCTTTTGACTTGGCCATGTCCTGACCTTCAGCTTCAGGGCCACTGCTTAGAGTCTGCTCACCAGAGGTACTGGAAGGGCATGGTCCTTCTGGACAGTTTCAGATGGTGCTACCTACTCACCAAGTGCCATTGCTGGTAGAGACCAGCACGGGGCAGCGGGCCGTGACCAAGAGCCGAAGTCCCCAGAAGTAAATGCTGGGGCAGAGCCATCCTCGGATGTGAGAACTGGCTGTTGAGTGTGTAGTCATCTGGGCAGGGCTAAGTTATAATGTGCTTTATGTTCAGATTCTATTCTGAGTTGTGGTGCATACTTGAGGGGTTTATACCGAATGAAAATGCTAACAAAATATCTGCCAAGTTTAATAAACAGGTCGAAAATAATTTCACAAAATGCATTTTATTTGTGAATCTATTTAATACTGAGACTCGATTTTTAAAAAGTAATAAAATTATGAGAAAAACTGAACTTACGGCTAAAGAACACCTTAGTGCTTTATTATAAAAGTAACAGATTTGTTTTTTTTGTTGTTGTTTTTTTTTTTGTTTGTTTTTCTCCGGTACCAGGAACCGAACTCACGACCTTGCGCTTGCCAGGCAGGCGCTTTGCCGCTGAGCTAAATCCCCAGCCCCAAAGTAACAGATTTGTAAAGCTCACAGACTTAACTATCTGTACATGTGAAAAGTATGCTGTATACATGCACACACATATCCAAATACATAGGTATGAACCTGTGCACAGTATGTATGCATGCGTATGTGTGTCTCAGGGATAATAAACACATCGTCGTACTACCTGCTGATACAATAAATCATCACAGACAAGGGCCAACATAATGTACTCACTGATGGGTTTGTCCTTGCCGCTGAGACACCCATCTGCATTGCATCTGGTCTGGGTTATCTTGTGTTAGCACTGGCGCACGTCTAGGTCCCCCCCAGGTGTCCTGCAGCAGTGGCCACAGTGATCTCCCGTTCCCATGAAGAAACAGCCATCCATGTCTGGGCCATGCAGACTTCAGAGTCAGAGATGTTAACACAGGGCCAAGATGCTGTGTTGGGAATGTGGGGCTGATCCTTGAATATTCTAGAACAATCTCACGGCACACCACAGCAGGCATGCGGGAGTGGAGGTTTCCTCTCGGTCAGAGCAGGCAGTGCTGCTTGTGGCTGCCAGGATCGGAGGGGTCATGAAGTACAGGATGCTCTTGCCGACCTCGCTGGCCTGCTACACCTGGGTGTCTTGAGTCCATCACTGTGTCAACACTGAGTATTTAGCGATTTACAAGGAGTGGAGGTTTATTTGGCTCATAGTTCCGGAGACAGAGAAACCCAAGGTCAGGAACCTGTACCTGGGCAGGGCGCAGTGCTGCCTGGCCTATAGCAGAAAGTAAGAAGATGAGCCGACATGTGCCAAGACGCGAAGTGTGGGGCCGACCTGCTGTGTTACAGCCCGTCCTCGTGGTAACTGGTTCAGTTCCAAGAGGGCTGGCACTCACTCCGAGAAAGCTGTTAATCCATCCATGAGGGCTCCAAGCCAGGTCCCACCTCCCGACTGCTGCACTGAGGACTGACCTTCAGCACGTGAGCTTTAGAGACACAGCCCCGGGCTTCCTTTCTTAAGGGGCAGTGGGCAGACCAGGAGCTGGGCCAGAAAGCTGCTCTTTATGACAGTAAAATTTGGGTATAACCAAGACTTCAGACTAACATTCAGGCTGACTCGGCTCAATTCCTGGAAATTCCTGGCCAGAGGTGCCTTCAGGATGCCCCCTGCAAGCACACAGTGAGGGTTCGGTTTCAGTGACAAATACTTGAACCTGAAGATCTTTGATGCATTCTGCGATGCTCCTTAGATGTGCATTTCAGGATGTGAGGAGCCTTTGGTGGAAGCGTGTGTCTCACGTCTCCCCCTTTTCTTAGACCGCCGCTGTACTTTAGTGAGCATTCAAGTGTGCTACTTTCTACCCGCCCTGGCTTATCACATGTCCAGGTAAAGCCTCTGTTGCATATATTCCTAGATGGACCCGCTACACAAGCACGCACTCAGCTTCTTCATTACTTCTCCCAGTGTTTGCACAGTCAAACGTCCAGCCTTGCTTCTGTCTGCAACATCTTGGTCTGAGCGGGGCCACAGTCTCTTCTCCTCACATGGACAGCTCTGTCTGCAATTTGAGGGCAAGGTGCTGTGGAGCGAGCCCAAGCTCCACGGAACAGGCTCCAGAGGATGTCCAGGAGGAGCTTCTGTAGTTCCTAGTGCGGGATAATCTTAGTCGGCCTCTTCCAGACCCACTGTCTACACTCCCCCTGATCTCCCCATGACTGCAGCTCTGCCCCTTCCTGCTGTTCAGGGGGGTGCAGCAGGTGACCCCAGGCAGGAGGAGCAGGTGTCAGCCAGAGCCATAGCTCTGCTCAGGGTCTCCTTCCCCACAGCCTCCCCTCTGGGTCACAGAGCCTCTTTCTCCTGACCCTTCTTGCCTAAGGTATAAAGGCTTCTCCTGCTGCCAGCCCTGGAGCCTGCACCAGCCCTGGGCAGTTTTCCTAAACTTTGGTGGTACATAATTTTGAGGGAATCTTCATATAATCCCCTTTTGGATGATGGTCTTTGGATTTTGATTTTTTTTCATATCTAAGTGTATTAGAGGGACCAAGTAAACATGAGCTGGAATCGCTGGTTCAGCTGAGGCATTAGTATTTCCAGCACAGTGGATCATGCCTGGTGCCAGCCCGTCTGGGGGTGGGGTGCCACCTCCTTTGGCAGGTGGGCACAGTCTTTGGTGCATGCACCCCTGACATCACCCTTCCTGCACCCGCGGGCTGTGTGAGCGCGCGGCAGGCCCGCTCCTGCCTGGGGGGGGGGTGGTAGAGAGGAGACTGAACACTGGCAGACTGCTCAGATCCATGTGGCCAGGACAGGGGGGCACTGTTTGCACGTGGGGAAGACTGGCAACCAATCACTTAATGCAGACTGGATTGCACATTTTTACTCCGAGCTGTTTTCTATGTTCCATTTTCTCTGTCTTCCCACAGATGACTTATAGGACGGATATGCTTATTTTACTGATACGCTTATTTTCAATATAAAACTCCCCACTGCCAAGACGCGCCCTGTGTTAAAAGGTAAGGGGCATGTCTTTTTTGCTGAGTGTAAGATCTACCCTTGGATTGCAAGACATGAGATGCTGTACAGAGTGATCCCAGAACTTGCCAATCTGGCACACCTGAAACTTTATGTCCATTGACGAGCAGCTCCTCTTTCCCTCTCCCACCCTTTCTCCTCACCCACCCGGCAACCACCATTCTCCTGTTTCTGAGTCTGGCCCCTCTAGAAGTCACACAGAGCTGGAATACACCGGCTTCCACCTCCCGTGTCTGGCTCACTTCATGCAGCACCCTCTGCGTTGACCCATGTTGCCACGTATTCCAGGACTGCCTCTGTTTTCAGGCTGAATAATGTTACACTGGATGTGACGTCGCATTTCCTTTACCCTTCCATCCAGTGTGGACACTTAGGTTTCTTCCACGTCTTGGCTGCTACAAATGATGCTGGTGTGAATGCAGGAGGGCAGATATCTCTTTGAGATCCTGATTTCGGTTACTCTGGATCTACATCCAGCATTAGGATTGATGATTCTGATCCTTTCTGAGGGACTTTCATGCGGTTGTTTATCAGCCACGTCATTGTATACTTCCACCAGCAGTGCACGAGAGTGCTGATGCCTCCACATTCTTTCCAGCCCTCATCTCTTGTTTTCTGACGATGGCCATCCTAATAGATATGAGGTAAAATCTCATTAGGATTTTGATTTGCAATTCCCTGATGCTGGGGATGTCTGCCATCCTTTTTGTGTTCCTGTTGGCTGTTTGCCTATGTTTGGAGAAATGTCTACTCAAAGCCTTTCACTTATTTTTAAAATTGGATTTTTTTCCTGCTTTTGAGTTTTTGTAGTTCCCTGTATGTTGGAAACATGAATCTTTTATCAGATATGTAATTTGGAAATATTTTTCCCCTTATGTAGGTTACTTTTCACTGTAGGAATAAGCTTTACCACAGGTTTGAATGATCTGTACTCTGAAAACTACAAAACATAAGCGAAAATTACTAAACTCACAGAAAAATAGCCATGAACTGTTCGTGGAAAGAAAGCCTTATCGTTGTGGAAATGTCCGTACCACCCACAGGGATCCATATAGGCAGTGCCACCCCTGTCGGAATCCTAATGACATTCTTCACAGAAATAGGAAGCACGAACTCAGAAGTAACAGGGAGCCACAAAGGACCTCAACCAGCAAAACAACCTTGAAAAAGAGCAAACCCGCTCTCCTCAGTTTCAAAGTACATTACAAAGCCACAGTTACCAAAACAATGTCATAGTGACTAGAGATTGACATACAGACCAAGGAGCAGAATGGAAAGTCCAGAAAAAACCTAAGCCTGGCCAGCAAATCTAAAAGTCAGCCAAAAATACATATGCAGGAAGGACAAACTAATCTACAAATAGTTTTGGGAAAACTGGAAAACCACATGAAAAAGAGTGAGATGAGATCTTTATCATATACCATACACAAAAAGGAGCTCAAAATGGATTAAAGCCTTAACTGCAACCTGAACCTGTAAAATTCATAGAAGAAAACAAAGGGAAAACCCTACGGAACTTGGCATGAGAGCTGATTTCATAGAGATGACTCTCAAAGCACAGGCAACAAAAGCAAAAATGAAATAAGTGGATGACATTGAACTAAAATTGCACACAGCAAAGAAAACAACAGAGTCAAGCAAACCATGGGCTGGGGGAAAATATCTGCACACCATAAATCTGTTAAGGGGCTTAGACTCAAAGCGCATAAGCGACTCCTATAACTTAACAGCGAAAAAACAACTAACCGCTCTAAAAATTGAACCATGGACTTCAGCAGACATCACCTTCCCCCGCCCCAAATATTTAACATCTCATTGTCTCTTCTTGGCAGTTACTTTTCTTTTCCTTTAACTGTGGAAACTACTTAATGATGTCACAGACAGATTTCATAAACACGGAAGTTTAGACTTCATGAAAGATTTGGTCAAAGATGAGAAACTGCTCTGATTTCCAAATACAAATAATTTCAATAGCCTAGAAAACAAAGTCCCCGAGACAATAAAACACATTCTCTAGAGAGCCCCCTTTGAGTATGTTCCAACATGCTGCTGCGTTCATAGCAAATTCTAGCCAACCTCTGTGTTTCCTTATTAGCTTGAAACTAAATGGCAGGAAACACCCAGGGGCACCAGTAACACTTCAGAATCCTGTGCCAATTTGAAACAGGGGAGACAGTACTGTGGGGCTGCTTGCTAAATACTTTGAAAAATTCCATTGACATGAGAGATAACAAACTTGAAAGGCAAGTACTTTTTTGCATCAATAAATAAAACATCAAAGTGATTACTGAGTCAAAGATCCAAAGAAGCGGTGTGCGTTTTTGAGCATGTAA